AGACTAGGGTACCCTCCCCCCCTCCCCTGAGAGTTTTATAAAGGGATCCCGGGTCTAAGAGTCATCACCATTAGTACTATCCAGACGATATGGTTCTGATGCATCATAGATAGTACCAACACTAGGGTAACAAACCGTGAGTGAAGCTGTAAGATCACACAACACTCCTCAAAGCGTGGCTTCTCTTTTCGGTGCTGCACGGCACCGTACCTCCGGCCAGGAGGCCGTTTAGAGGGTTCGGAAACCGGGATGGATGTTTAGAGGGTTCGGGATTCGGGGTTTAAGTTTAGGAGCTTCTTGGCGGTCTCAGAGGGCATGTGGAACTTGTTCGCGGGCTTGTAATCGCAACTTGGTACATTCGTGGAAACAAACCCTTGTGGTATGGCTAGCAAGGTAAACCACTGGATTGCCCAAGTCTTCGTTGTCCTGCAATCTTCTTGATCGCCAGTTCCGTGTACATACTGATGTCTAGATGATCTCCGCAAGCTGAGGGTGAGCCAAGGGCCGAAGAAGACGCCTACCTGGGCTCACGCTGAGGACGCGGAGATGTCCCCATCAGTTCGGAAAGTCACCTGGCCGACGCCCATGTGCTCGCATGATCTGGTTCAGGGTTCAGGGTTTAGGGTTTAGGGTTTAGGGTTTAGGGTTTAGGGTTTAGGGTTTAGGGTTTAGGGTTTAGGGTTTAGGGTTTAGGGTTTCGGGTTTAGGGTTTAGGGCTTAAGGGTCGTGTCCGAAACCTTGCCATCTGCGTCGGAGGCGCCCAAGTTGTAGAGCGTGACCTCTGCAGGCTTGTGACGTGATTCTCCCCGCGGGATCCTAAAAAAGGCTCTGCTGCTCAGGTGCAGGGTTTAGGGTTTAGGGTTTAGGGTTTAGGGTTTAGGGTTTAGGGATTAGGGTTTAGGGTTTAGGGTTTAGGGTGTGGGTGTCAAACACCCCGGGCCGCGCGCTCGCGTTGCCCGTCAACCCACCCCGGCCACCCAAACTATACTCTATTAGGGTTTAGGGTTTATGGAATTTATTTTCTTGTGCCCTGATGCTTGCTTTCATGTTGTTAAAGTTGCGCTGTTAGGGTTTAAGCTGGGGTTGGGGGTAGCCTCGGCCCTTTTCGGGCCTTCGGCGTGTCAGGGCCCGTAGAGGCCCCTTCCGGGTAAAATGAAGGGGTGCCCAAAACCATCGATTTCAGTACAAAAAAATCGCATTTTTCATTGGGTACGGGCATCCTGGGGTCCCCCTTCTTTTAGGGGGCCTTTTGAAGTCTTTTGAAGCCTTTTGGTGGCTGTTGGGGTCTCTCGGGGCCCTGTTCGGACCTTCGGCGTTCGCCAATGAGTATTTCAATCGCTCGGGTTTAAGCTGGGGTTCGGGGTAGCCTCGGCCCTTTTCGGGCCTTCGGCACGTTAGGGCCCGTAGAGGCCCTTATTTGATTGAAGGCCTTCGTAGGGTTTTGGGGGCGCTGGGTTTGGGGGTTTTGGGGGAAACCCTTTGGCCCTCCCGGGGGGCCCTTGGCCCGGCAATTAGGTGGCTCTTGGGGTCTCTCGCCCTGTTCGGACCTTCGGCATGTCAGGGGCCATAGAGGCTTTGTTCATTTGAAGGTCAGGGAACCTATTAATTTTTTCGCCAATGAGTATTTCAATCGCTCGGGTTTAAGCTGGGTTTCGGGGTAGCCTCGGCCCTTTTCGGCCCTTCGGCACGTTAGGACCCGTAGAGGCCCTTTATTTGCTTGATTGAAGGCCTTCGCAGGGTTTTGCGGTGTTAGGGTTTAAGCTGGGGCTCGGGGTAGCCTCGGCCCTTTGCGGGCCTTCGGCACGTCAGGGCCCGTAGAGGCCCTGGGGCTTTCCTGGTCCTTGTCGGGTGAAATGGAGGGGTGCCCAAAACCATCGATTTCAGTACTAAAAAGTAACATTTTTCATTGCGGGCAGGGGTGCCTAAAACCATCGTTTTCAATATTCAAAAACAGCATTTTTCATTTGAAGGTCAGGGAACCTATTAATTTTTTTTCGCCAATGAGCATTTCAATTGCTAGGGTTTAAGCTGGGGTTCGGGGTAGCCTCGGCCCTTTTCGGTAGAATAGGCCGATGTCCGTTGGCCTGTCCAGGACAGACGGTGAGGCTTAACCCTCACCTTTCCGTTTCTCTTTTCGCTTGGGCGCTCGGGCTGTAAGGCCCTCGGCCGAGCGTTCGGGGTCTGTCGCTCGACGGAAGCGACCCCTCACTTAGTTTAGGAGGGTTTAGGGTTTAGGGTTTAGGGTTTAGGGTTTAGGGTTTAGGGTTTAGGGTTTAGGGTTTAGGGTTTAGGGTTTAGGGTTTAGGGTTTAGGGTTTAGGGTTAGGGGTTAGGGTTTAGGGTTTAGGGTTTAGGGTTTAGGGCTTAGGGTTTAGGGTTTAGGGTTTATAGGTTTAGGGTTTAGGGTTTAGGGTTTAGGGTTTAGGGTTTAGGGTTTAGGGTTTAGGGTTTAGGGTTTAGGGTTTAGGGTTTAGGGTTTAGGGTTTAGGGTTTAGGGTTTAGGGTTTAGGGTTTCGGGTTTCGGGTTTGGTGAAAGCCTTGAAGTCGAGTGCCCGACACGCCCCTCGCGCATGGCGGTGTCGAACTTCTGCTTCAAGTAGTCAAAATGCCTTCGTCTTCATCCGTAAACCCTAAACCCTAAACCCTAAAATCCCTAAACCCTAAACCCTAAACCCTAAACCCTAAACCCCAAAATCCCTAAACCCAAAAACCCTCAAACCCTCAAACCCTCAAACCCTCAAACCCTCAAACCCTCAAACCCTCAAACCCTACAACCCTCAAGCCCTAAGCTGCACGAAAGAGGTGAGAAGAGGTTCCCTAAACCCTAACCCCTAAACCCCTAAACCCCTAAACCCCTAAACCCCTAAACCCCTAAACCCCTAAACCCCTAAACCCCTAAACCCTAAACCCCAAACCCTAAACCCTAACCCCAAAACCCTAAACCCCTAAACCCCAAACCCTAAACCCCAAACCCTAAACCCCAAAAGCCTAAACCCCAAAAGCCGTTTTCCCCTTGGGGCGAGGACGACTTCACCGGCTCGAAGCTGTGGATGTGAGCATGAGGGTAGAGCTTTAAGAAGGCCTCCAAGACACGCGGGCGTCGTTTGGGGTTTAGGGTTTGGGGTTTAGGCTTTAGGGTTTAGGGTTTTGGGTTTGGGGTTTGGGGTTTGGGGTTTGGGGTTTAGGGGGTTTAGGGTTTAGGGGTTTAGGGGTTTTAGGGGTTTAGGGATTTAGGGGTTTGGGGGTTTAGGGGTTTAGGGGTTTAGGGGTTTAGGGGTTTAGGGGTTTAGGGGTTTAGGGGTTTAGGGGTTTAGGGGTTTAGGGGTTTAGGGGTTTAGGCCCCCAAGACTCCTGGCATCACACCCCGCCTGCAGGTCTTCACCGCGGTTCCCCCCAAGTTCCACGATCACACGTGGCTTCGGGACCTATCGCTGCACGGAGGAGCGGCTGGTGGGACCCAGGACTTCAATCAAATCTTGGATGGGTTCAGGGCTTAGGGTCTACAGAGGGATGATGAGGGGTCAGGGTTCGGGTTTAGGGTTTAGGGGACACACCTCAGGCCATTTCCAGCGCACGTTTGGGTGCTGGCCGCCCTTCGGCGAGGAGTGCCGAACCTGGCATTGCAAGGCCAGGACGGTTCACTGGTTCCAACCCCCAGCCCTTCACCCCGGCCTCTGGGCATTCACCAAAAACTGCATGTGTGATCTTGCCCACGGCCCCACCTGATATGAAGCAACATCGACTCCAAGAATGACTCAGGCACCAAAAGCCGATCCCCAGGTGCTCAGACCTGGCGGTGCTGCCTCAGCTCGTGCTGCCTTGGATCTGTTCTGGGCATGTGCTGGTCTCGGAGAGCCTCATGGCCAGCAACGTTAGCTACGCGATCTGGCACTGGCAGAACAAAGCAAGGAACGCAAGGAACCCACTGCCTGCAGGCGCACGGAGGTGGCCAGCAGGAGGGGGGGAAGCCTCAGTCGTCCATGAGTCCAATGAGAACCGGAGATATCGGAGAACTCTCAGTAGAACCTCAAGCCTCTTCATCCCTCTTCTGGGCTTCCGGGCTTTCGCCGGCATGCGGGGCAGCTCGCCGCAGGCGAGATCCTTCTGAAACAGCAGGACGCAGGCCTCGTGCTGCGCAAGCCCGACGACAGAGTCTGGCAAGATGCTTCTGAAGAGCTTCGGAGAGGCAACCCCCCCCCAACCCCCAACCCGTCGCCTGAAGCAGGATCATCACCATCAGGATCAGGCTCTCCACCGAGACCCTCACAGAAAGACAGAACAATGAAAGAGACAATCATTAGGGTGGCCAAAGGCGAGATCATCGAAATCATAGCTGCCAGGAAAAGGGCAGAGACTCCACCTTGTGGGTACAGAAGTCATCTTCGTGAGGTGTCAGACAAGCCTTGGGTCATCAAGGAAGCAAGTCGTACCCTTTTGTTTTAGGGTCTAGGGCTGTCTTGGGTGTCTAAGCAAGGCAAGAGACCCCAGCCCCAAAAGTGTCGCAACCTCGGAATCTTGCCTGGCGGCTTCCTGGTCACTGTCACACATCTTCGGCCCACGCCAAATCGCTGATGACTCCAGCCCGGACGCGGCAAAAGCATAGGGTTTAGGGTTTAGGGTTTAGGGTTCAGGGTTTAGGGTGTAGGGTTTAGGGTTCAGGGTTTAGAGTTTAGGGTTTAGGGTTTGATGAAGCTCCCGTTTCCCCCTGTTTAGGCAGCTCCGCAACTTTCGATCTTTCTGAATCTCAGTATCCGCCTAGATGCACCTTGTACCCGAAACCCATGTCAGAATTCAGAGATCTGTTCAGAAGGGTTACTGAGTTCCTTGGAACCATCTGCCTCTGGCTGCGGGCCACAAGCGGGGCGGAACGAGTTTTCGTGGCAGATCTCTTTGGAATCCCCACAGCCGTCCCGAAAGCATGGCCCCAAGAGCAACCACTGCACTGACTACCCGCAACCCTGCAAAAAGCAGCAAGCTCTCCTTAAGCCATCTTCACCCCACCTCCGGATTCCTCATGTACCAGTACATCACCTCCCGCATCTTCTCGCCGGTCGCAGACCGGAGCTCCTGTCTCAGCCCGGGACTGAACCTCTTGGGACCTAGGTCTATACTCCCCTTAGAACCTTCATCAAAAAATATGTTCAATAATATCCTCTTGGGTTTTGTATCAACATAAAATAATTCCCAAGGGGGATATAGCTAGGTGTTGGGAGTCTTCACCTTTACCTTGGTGAGCGATGAGCAGACCTCCTTTGGCTTCGGTGTCCTGAGGAGGCGTGCGTAGGATGTAGTTGTCAAACCCGCCAGCGTCGTCCATGCTGTACACAGCGGACGGAGTTACCTCCACGCCAGCGCCAAGGAAAGAATCCGACAACATGCCATGTAGAGTGTCACTCGGAAGTTCGGAAGATTAACCAACTGATGGCGTGCGTGGCTTTTCTATATTCACTCTAGAAAGGCCACGAGAGAAGAAACACGAAACACCGAGGCTGCTGCCCGCAGGTTGTAGATGGTCGTGTTGAGAGCGTCGGAGTGAAAATCCTGTCGAGGGCTGCGTTTGGGACCTGAAGAACTTCGGATTCTCGAACCTTCTCGGGAAGCAGGGCTTCATTCAAGTCTAAGCCACGTGCCCTTTCCCACGAAAAGAAACGGACTTCGGGCTGCGCGGCTCCTTCTTGTAGTTGAGCGGATAAAGCTTCTTTCGTGTCCACCGGCCCGTCCACCTCTGCGGTGTGAGGCCCAGAAGTCGTGAAGGTTGCTCGGCTCGTGCCCGAGCCTTTTCCGCGTGTAGTAGTTGAAGTCATCGGAACCCCAGAGGGCCATCTGCGATGAGGAGGACCTCGTGCGGCCCAGGCACCCCCATGCCCCGGATTCAAGGGACTGCTAGGGTCCTAAGGCCATGGCGGAGTTTTTCCATAGGCTTTCACCGGCACAACCCTGCGTCTCCACAGGTGCAAGACAGTGCAAGACCCATCCGGATCACATCATGCATCGTGGACTGCTTGTCAGAACCCGGGCAGAGCCACTTTTCCTGTCCATGCTGGCCAAGTCGGGTCGCTCTTGTCGGAGGGACAGGTAAGCATTAACACAGCCACCAAGCTGGGGCCGAAGATGCAGGCTCGAAGCAGACTCATGAGCTTCAGCTGATTCAAATCGGAAGCAGCAGGGGCAGCTGGATGGATGGGGGGGGCTGTGAAACCAGTTCAGCAGGCTTTCAGAAGACAACCTTGTCGGTGGGATCGATCCAGTTGATGATCTTGAAGTGCTGCCTCTGAGTGAGCATCCGGCGTCAAAGTGAAGTGAGGCGCGGAGTCGTCCCTGCCTGGAGTCCACCACCATGTCAACGTCCACACGCTTTGGCATCGGATCTCGCCTTAGCCGCACTTGCTGCATGCTGTCTGAGCAACCTAAACCCTAAACCCTAAACCCTAAACCCTAAACCCCTTAAAACTACTCCTAGAGAGCCTCTGGGCCCACCGGGGGCTGGGCTTTTCCATCATCGGAAAGGCAGACCTCGGTGATGCTTGAAGTGGCGCCTTGACCTGCCTCTTGCTTCACCAAAGGTGGGTTTAGGGTTTAGGGTTGAGGGTTTAGGGTTTAGGGTTTAGGGTTTAGGGTTTAGGGTTTGGGGTTTGGGGTTTGGGGTTTGGGGTTTGGGGTTTGGGGTTTGGGGTTTGGGGTTTGGGGTTTGGGGTTTGGGGTTTGGGGTTTGGGGTTTGGGGTTTGGGGTTTGGGGTTTGGGGTTTGGGGTTTGGGGTTTGGGGTTTGGGGTTGGGGGTTTGGGGTTGGGGTTTGGGGTTTGGGGTTTGGGGTTTGGGGTTTGGGGTTTGGGGTTTGGGGTTTGGGGTTTGGGGTTTGGGGTTTGGGGTTTGGGGTTTGGGTCCCGGCATCATCTCCACTTCCACCGATTGCTTTCGGACCTTAGTGCTCCAGAACTGACTACAGAGAAGGACTTTGTTTTCCTCTGTTGCCCCTGCCTTTTGCCTGTTGGCACACAGGCCTTGCAGACTTAGAGACTTGAGGCCCAAGCCCAGTCGCTGGTGGATCGCCAACCCTTGACGTCCCCAATTGCCTTCCAGCGCGCAGCATCCGTAGCGCCAAAGCACACAGCTCTTTTTTCGGATTGTTACGTCCACCTCAAAAGTGAAAGTGGGACGCTGGGAAAGAGGAAGGCCGGCGGAGGCGGAATCGGGTCGGTCCCCCTTCTGCCTCGTCATCCGTCTCGTTGTCATCTTCATCACCCAGCTGGTCCCAGCCTGACCACAGCCACATCCACATGGGCAGATGGGCGGCAAGAACCCTAAACCCTAAACCCTCAACCCTAAAACCTAAAACCTAAAACCTAAACCCTAAACCCTAAACTAAGGAGAACACCAACCCACTTCGCGTACTGCTGCTCCTTCTTGGCCATGATGACAGCCTCTCGAGCGAAGCCCAGAAGGAGACTCTTTGCTCAGCTCTCTCATGCCCTGCTAGACCCCTAACATCCCTAAACCCTATAAGTCCAGTCTAGACCCCTAACATCCCTAAACCCTATAAGTCCTTTTTGCCAAACCCACACCCAGGAAAGGACTGATCCGATGATCCCCCACCTCACGTGTTTGCTGCTTGTCTTTCAACCTGGTCAGGCCGGTCCTGCTGCTTGCCGAAGGATGCAACTACAAGAGCTTAGGGTTTCGGGTTTAGGGTTTAGGGTTTATGGGGTCCAGTCAGGCATTGGGAAGCTTGAGGGTTCAGGAGCTTGCAAAGCTTCCGAACGCCTATGCTGAGTTTGCAATACTTGGTGATTTCTGACGCCTCCACGGGCAGGACCCGAATTGCAGACAGTCCCATGAACAAGAAAAAAAGCAGCATGACTGCAGCTCCTTGTGAGGTAGTGGTTTGTGCCCCACTCCTGATCGGAGGTCAAGATTCCGGTGGATGGGACTCGAATTTTCGTGTGTCTGCAGGGGGGTTGCGAGGTGACCAGCTCTCATCCTGAACCACCTTCGCCACGGTCTTCTCCCTGAGGCGGTACCTCAGAGGCCAAGCCACCGGTGCTCAAACGCGCCTTAAAAACAAGGGAGCAACACAATAGATCACGCCTGTGATCTTGCTTGGACACATGAGGCCTGTAGATGCATTTTCAACGCTGACTGCCCCGTGGCCCCGTGGCTTTCCTCCTCGAACTGAGACTCAACAGAGCACGGTGCCGGCAACCCGGAAGTAGCGCCAAGAAACTCCAAGAAACCCTTCCAATCGCCCCCAAAGCCCCCGGTTTGGTTGAAGGCTTAGAGTACTCTTAGAGTCCCTAAACCCTTCTCCCCAACACCCGCCCTAAACCCTAAACCCTAAAGCCTAAACCCTAAACCCTAAACCCTAAACCCCAACACATTGACCCGATACACCCGCACTACTCTTGCGGCAGAACGAGCTGCGGCTTCTGCTGGGGCCCCCTGCCTCTGCGCAATGCGGGCGATAGAGAAGCGTGCAGGATCCTTGGAGTCCCGTACGGGGTGGTTTAGGGTTTAGGGTTTAGGGTTTAGGGTTTAGGGTTCAGGGTTCAGGGTTTAAGGTTTAGGATTCCATAAGTCAGGGTCCCCTTGTTGGGTTCTTGGTGTAAAGGGTGCCGTATTACGTATTGCGGGGGACCTCAGAAGGTGACGCTAATTTAGAGAACTACCCATGTAGGCGAGGTGATCCCTTTTTTTGGGACCTACGTACTTCGCTTGGGGGTAATTAGGGCCAATAATTCTTCGGAGGTTTGTAACTGCCACAGGCCGCAACAATCAAGTGGGCAGCGCCTGCAACTTCAAGATCTGTTTCTGTGTCGAAGCCAGTGCAGCACCCCAAAACCTAAACCCTAAACCCTAAACCCTAAACCCTAAACCCTAAACCCTAAACCCTAAACCAGTAAGCATGCCAGCATCTTTTGCTGTCGCAGTGATGGCTGCAGGGGAACTCCGTCCGAGGCAAGAACGAGATTGTGAAGGAAGTAGATGTATTCGCGCAGGTAGGGATCGAGTCGTCGGTAGCCTGGCACCTTCACGCTTCATGGGGCTCTACAAGTGGACAAGCAGCCTGTCTTACTCTGGGTGCGTCGTCGTGAGGCTCATTCATTCAGGCAACACAACAGCAAGAGCATTCGGTGCACGCCGCATAACCTTCTCGTCAGGCGCGGAAATGCGCAAACATCGAATCTGCTCCTGCTCCATGAACCCTGAACCCTGAACCCTAAACCCTAAACCCTAAACCCTAAACCCTAAACCCTAACCCTAAACCCTATTCAAAGATCGTTCCGGTCCGGCGCCTGGATCGGGTAAGCCCGCTCGACTAGTCGGTCGAGGCCCCGATCTTTATGATAGTCGATGTTCTCAGCCTCGGTGTAGGGTTTAGGGTTTAGGGTTTGGGGTTTAGGGATTAGGGTTTAGGGTTTAGGATTTAGGGTTTAGGGTTTAGGGTTTAGGGTTTAGGGTTTAGGGTTTGTGGCTGTGGAAGATTTTTCCTAGGATCCAGCCAACAGGAGGTGTGGCAGTGCCTTGGGAGCAGACTGTTTCGAGCGTTGGAAACCGAAGCCCCGAGTGGTCGTCGTAGGATTCCGTCTTCCTGCCAGCCTGAGGAAGGCGGATGCAGCCCAGGCATCGTTGAGGAAGTACGGAGCGCAGGGGAACGAGCTGTGTCGGCTGGCCTAGGCCCACCACAGCACTCCATGCATTGTACACAACCCGCAAAGCCTGAGCATCCACCTCAAAGTCACCACGTACCCTCCCCAGACACAGCCCAGGATCACCCATCCTACAGCCTTTTCAGAACCACACGGAATACCGGAGCAGGCCTGCGGCAGGCGAAAGCGATATGGAGGACCTAAACGATGTTCCAAATGTTCCAACATGGGGGGGGGGGGCTACTGGCACATTTTTCCTTTGTACGCTAACCATATGATGTCGTACAGTGGATGTATGTGTGTATAAGATTGAATCAAAATTCCTGTCGTGACCAGTACTAGTATGTGACAAATTAAAATGACACCTGAACTGGAATTATAATTAAGCAAACTTTTATGAATCTTTCTGAATCAATCATAGACTTGTGTGACACATACTCCCACTGCCTCTGGTTAACGTGCGGCTCCAAAACAAGAATGCAGCTATCGACTTTACGCCTGTCCCGATGGGTCAAGTCCGCGCGCAGTCGCTACTACAACTGGAATCTTTTGACAACACAACTGTTCGGGAGGATTTGGGATGGGCCAGGGGGGAACCGTGCCTGTGGAGAGGAGTACGTTGCAGAGATGGCCAGATCGAAGAGATCGAGGGAGAACGGATTGCGTGGTTCGGTGGATCTATTAAACGACGTTCCGGATGTTCCAACATTGGGAGGGCTACGGGCAGGACGGCAGCAGAAAGGTGTTGCATGGTTTTAGGCTGGGCCGCTTGATTGCAGAGCCCTAAACTCTAAACCCTGAACCCTAAGCCCTAAGCCCTAAGCCCTAAACCCTAAATGGGAGAGCCAAGAGCGCCACCCGTCGGCTCCCAGCCCTGGTCCTCTTTGCGTCGGGGCCGCATGCCGGCTGCCTGGCTTTGGCGGGGGGACGCTGGGCTTGGGGTTGATTGAGGGTTGAGGGTTGAGTGAGGGTTTAGGGCTTAGGGCTTAGGGTTTAGGGATTAGGGATTAGGGTTTAGGGTTTAGGGTTTCGGGTTTAGGGTTTAGGGTTTGGGGTTTGGGGTTTAGGGTTTGGGGTTTAGGGTTTAGGGTTTAGGGTTTAGGGTGTAGGGTGAAGGGTGTAGGGTGTAGGGTGTAGGGTGTAGGATTTAGGGTTTAGGGTTTAGGGTTTAGGGTTTAGGGTTTAGGGTTTAGGGTTTAGGGTTTAAGCTTTAGGGTTTAGGGTGCGGAGCTGCAGTTTGTATTCAGGAATTAGGTTGGGGTTAAATGAAAAGGGTCAATGCGCCCGACAATAT